AGAATAATTGAGAATTCACATGGGCATACTTTGTAGAACCAAAATGTTCTTCAATCAAAGTAATTCTCTTCTGCTGCTTAGTTGGTTACCAAACCATCAACGACTAAGGTTGGAGTGGAATCTCCCGCATTTCTGGAACAGATACAAGGTGATATATGTGGGCCTATTCACCCTGCGTGTGGACCATTTAAATATTTAATGATTTTGATAGATGCATCTACAAGATGGTCTCATGTGTGCTTATTATCAACTTGCAATATGGTTTTTGCGAGGTTGTTGGCTCAAATAATAAGGTTAAAAGCACAATTTCCAAATTATGCAATAAAAACAATTCGTCTTGATAATGCTGGTGAGTTTACATCTCAGACATTTAATGATTATTGTTTATCCACTGGAATAACAGTTGAACATCCTGTTGCACATGTTCATACTCAAAATGGTTTAGCAGATTTATTGATTAAACGTTTTCAAATGATAGCTAGACCATTGTTGATGAGAACAAAGTTGCCTGTTTCGATTTGGGGGCATGCTATTGTGCATGCAGCGGCACTTGGGCGCGCGCATAAGGCCAACCAGTTATCATGACATCTCCCCATTACAATTGATTTTTAGTCAGGAGCCAAACATTTCCCATCTTAGAATTTTTGGTTGTGTGGTATATGTTTCAATTGCTCCACCACAACACACAAAGATGGTGTTTTATTTAAAAATGGATTTAGACTGATTTTAAGAGTCGCCACTTAATTTTTAAAGTAAAATTAAGAAAACTGATTTTTTCAAAAGATTAAAACTGTAAATCTAATGAAAATATTTAAAGGGGGTTCGAGAGTCACATTAACATTTCAGAAAGGATTTGAAAGCACCCGAAATTCCCACTAACATGCGGTTATCCGATAATTAACTATTTGGTTAAATATAGACATGCTTGATTAAGTTGGGAAAATAAACAATTTGAAACTCAAGAGTAATTTTAGAGGGAAAGGGAAATAGTATAAGGGATGTTATTTAAGTAAAATATTTCAAAGTAACTTAAGTAATAAAATAAGTAAAATCATTTAATTTTTAGAAAATCTCGAAATGACTATCTCTTGGGGAAATCGAATTTGGAAAACCTTAGAATTGACTACAATAAACAATTAAACAAATACGAAACTGATAAAATAAATAGAGAATTTTTGGACGCAAGTCTGATTTTCTGTCCGCCTGGACCAGTACTTGGGCTTGATTTCTGTTTTTTGGAGCCAAGATCCAACACTTGGTATCTGTCCTAAATTAACACAATAATAATCATGATAAATGGGTTTTTGGCCAAATAATTACAAAAATACAAAAATTGAAAATTTAAGGCTCTTTAAGCCCATTTTTAATGCAATATATAGCGTATACGACTGATGTATATCGTGCGTATCCAACCTCTTTTTTTGACTCCGAGACCTGCATTTTCTGTTTTCCAGCCCTGTATTTTGATTTTGACTCGAAAAGTGAAAGATTGAGCCTCCTTAGCTCAAGATGAAATGCACGGGAAAAATTGAAAGAGACCAATGGACTCATTCAAGGGTTTATGCCAGAAAACAAAAAGAGAGTAATTAGTAAGTGACTAAAGGAAAATTGATTTAAATATAATTATTGATCAAATTAAACAACGGAAATTTGAGCACAAATAGATAACTGTCCATACATATGCACTAAGACTTGAAAAAATCATGTCCTAAAAAAAGAAATGGAACATACCGATTCAACAAAACAAGGCATGACATTAATGGATAATTTTTCATATACTCTTTATAGAACGAAGAATGCTATCGCTTCACCAAACAAACCAACTGTGAATTAAAGGAAATATGGCTCCTAGACTTAACTTAACAGTAACAGTAAGGGATTAGAGGGATACAATTCATAACAAATTACTTTAAAGAACAAAACATTTGTATCCATGGCAATTAATGAAGAGTTGCAGCAAAATATAACAAGACATCGCAATGACTTTTTAGCACAATTTTACACTAAGACATGCATTTAAAAATTATAAACAAAAAAAATAAATAACTGGACAGCCACATTTTAACCCAAAATAAGCACACTTTCATGTAAAGAAAGTGCTGCTACAGGATAACTTTAATGAAAGAAAATGTACTCATGCTAACTCTATCTTGATGAGGTTGATCAGTTAAACAAGAATGAATTTAGAGTTCAAACTGTCAATTACGATCTTCCTAAAATGAGACTCGATTAACAGAAGCTATTAACAAGCTTACAACAGACATACAAAAATAAAAAATGATGCATCATGAGAAGACCGCAAGTAAAATAGCAAAGAAACACCAACATTAGATGCAAACCTACAAAACTTTGACTCGGCCAAATCATGGAATCGAATAGGAACATATATATCACATCGAAACATCATTAACTCAACAGAAACTAACAACAAACAACCATGAAGTAAAAAATTTCGAACATCGACAATATCATTTTCAAATGGTAGAAGAGCCGAGAAGAAAATTACAAGGAAGGAAACAATACCTTTTTCCGGGCAGCGAACTAGAACAAACGAACTTGAGACGACGTTTCCTCCACCACACGAGAGCTATCGTAGGTTCTAATGAACAAACCAAACAGTAAAACTAAGACTCTAAATCGTTCTACCCTCTTCTTTGAATGTATGTTCCCATTTATAATTTTTTTTTTTATCAGTTATTTCTAACCAACCTTATATTTTCTAAGTTTTTCTCCTAAATTTTTCCAACCCTAAACAACGATGAAGGAGGGGGTTTAATAGAGGGATATTAAGGTTGATTTAGGGGGAAATCGAGAAGGAAGAATTGGGTGATTTCGAATTTGAAATTCAATTTTTTTCTTAAAGGATTGAGAACCTGGTCGTCCGATTCGGAAGAAGGACGCTTGAATCGCGGAGATCGGGACACGTCGAGAGGAGAGAGACGCGTGCTACTGGACTCGGGTCGCTGGATCTCGCGATGGGCTGCGCCTGGACTGGATTACAATTTGAGTCACAATTTCTGGGTTTATTCGCGTCTGGGTCTCGCTATTCTTCGCTGGAATGAAGAAGAACGCGTAGGTCGGGTACCGCTTTGGTATTGTACGTTGTATTGAATGGGTCTGGTATTGTTGGGTTATTGTTGCTGGAAAAAAAAATTGGGGTTGGGCTGGGCTGATTTGGTCTTAAAAGAAGGTTAAAAGAGGAGTAAAAATTGGTTAGGCTTGCAATTAATGGAATATTTAAAATGGAATATTTATCCATCAATCAACATATACTGGAAAGGTTTTGAAGCGATTTTACATGGATAAATCACACCTATTGAGTACCTCGATGGTTGTGAGATCTCTTGATATAAATAAAGATCCATTCCGACCTCAAGAAAAGGATGAAGAGCTTCTTGGTGATGAAACTTCATATCTCAGTGCTATTGGGACACTAATGTACCTTGCCAACAATACTGACCAGATATTTTCTTCGCAGTAAATTTATTGGCGAGATTCAGCTCATATCCAACAAGAAGACATTGGAAAGGTGTTAAGCATATATTCAGATTGTAATGACCCGTAAAGTCGTTTTTGGATATTATCATATAAATTATCATTTTTGCCCCTTTTGATAATTGCATGAGTCAATTATTTTGATAAATCGGTGGAGTTGATTTGAAAAGTTTTGAGCTATTTGTTAATTATGATTATTTAGTGGATGGATGATTTTTAAATAATTACTTTAGAAAGGTTTATTACTATTTTGCATAACACAAGTAGTAACCGCTAATCCACGAACGGTGCGGCAACAACACGAAGACACCAATTTGTTGCAGGTAATTCATCACCACACCAAAATCTTGTACTATGATTATGGATAATCATGTTATTATTGCTATTATTATGCATTTGGCGTGAATAGAATTGAATATAAGACTTGGTGTTGTGTCGGCTTATTAAATTGAGGGCAAGTTCTTACTGCTATCGATAATTGTTTATGGGGATTAGTGGTAAGTGTTGTAGGATTGAATTGATGAGAATATATCATACTAATATATATTATTAATCTGTTAGCAGATAAGGAATTGGAATACAGTATATGTTTTGCAACATGTGGTCAGAATGTATTATGGATAGTTGAAGCTATGGTTAATAATGACCTACTGATTTTAGGGTAGTTATAGGCCAATAATTGAATATTTAATTGTTGGGGAATAAATTATAGGAATATAACTTGTATCAATATGTACCGTTCTGGATTGGTTTTTCAGTGAACAAAATCGCGATGTTCATAAATTTGGATTTCTAGCGTTTCTCCAATTCCTTCTTATAATTATCACATATGATTCAAGCTTTGAGATATTGAGACATGTAATTAAATATTAGGTGCATGATATCATATGAATACCATTATATTTATGATATTTGGAGAAATTGGAACTTAACCCTAGGCTTGAAATTCGGAAAACATGAGATTTGACATGTTAATTGGCACCAAGATTAAGAACTTGATTATAAATTGAGTGAGTTTTTGGGTCTAGGCTAGACCTATAGTAATCTGAGTGTGGTTAGTTTTGAAATCTTATTGTAATTATTAATGTGAATAGATTGCTTTGAGTTGAAAATTCAACGAAAGGGAAGACTCGAGTCTCGGAGTGATTGTTCGACTATTTGAGGCAAGTGGATTTCTAAACCCTTGTTAAGTGTATGGAATTCGTGTATTTCCTTGTAATATGTGTTTGGAGGTAATGAGCCTTGGTGATGGATTGACTTGTCCACATTGATTAATTCTAATAATGAAAAAGGGGTAATAAAAGACAATGTGATTAATTGTTTGTGTGTGATGTGTTGAGAATTATTTGTGACGGGCATTGGTACGAGTATATATAGTATAATTTTTCGACATCTACGTGGCTCCGCCCCTGGACCTAGCTAGTAATAAAACCAAAACTAAGGCTTTTGTATTTATTTGTTTGTAACTTCGTACTGTCGACTCTAAACTCCTTCTCAGCAAAACATAGTAGATAAGAGAGAGAAACATGAATTTTCATTTTGAGCCATTAGCCACCTTTATAGCTACCGCCATCGCTATTTTCTTAATTTCCACTATCAAATTCCGTTGGTTCCGTCCCGACAATTATTTGCCGCCGCCGTTCAACGTCGTCGTCGAGGAAATCAGTTACTGTTACTGTGCCGTGTGCCTCGATGAGGTGAGCAGTGACGACAGGTGTCGACAACTGCCCAAGTGTGGCCACACATTCCACGCGATGTGCGTGGATGTGTGGCTAGAGTGCAATTGGACGTGTCCAATCTGCAGAAGGCAAGTTACTGATGAACTTCCGGAGAGACAAGGTCAAAACACCCTATTTTCTTTTGTTGTTTCACGATGTGAAGAATTTATGACTAAGATTAATACTCGTGCTGAAGAATTCATGACCGTTTTGTTCGACAGCGGTGTTTTAGGCCATCTTTGAATTTTTTATTTGTTGTAATTAATTGTGTATTCATTGATTCGATTAATTCAGATTTGATTTAATTTTCTAGCCTTTTACGGAGAACGTTTTGTTTCTCGTTTAATTTAGGCAGATTTGTACTCATTAGGTAAAGATATGAAGAATTATAACTCCTATACTACTGTTCTTTCTTTTTCCTAATATTTTGATTCTATCAGCTATCAAGAAAATCCAAAATTTATCTCCTTCATAGGTACTTTTTATTTTGATAAATGAAGAAAATTTGTAATTTTCTCTGTATTGAATAGGAGAAAAAAATTTATTTTTTCTTTAAAAAAAAGAGAAAAGGAGAAAAGAAACTGGAGAGCAGAGCAGTCTGAGCAGATATTGAACACGTAGAATCCGGTTGTGGTTTTTGACCAACATTACGATTCTTTTTTAAAACACTGTTAAGCCGTTTTTTAGAGGTGGTTTTAATTTAATACTGTGTTTAAGAAAATAATGAAGAATTTTGAATTTTATAATTTTCAACTAAGTAGATAGTATATAATATACTAAAATGACATTTTATCTCATATTTTTTTAAACAGGCTCAAAAAAAATTGGAGAAACAAATTGTATCAAGGCAGTAAAATGAGTTAATTATTTAGTACGTACTCTAGTTAGCACCAACAATAGTAGGCATTAGTGAGTTTATCATTTCACTCTTAATGGTTATGAATTAGATGAATTAAAAACTTAAAATTTTCAAGAAGTTCTATTTTTTTCAAAATAATTAATTGAGACTATAATATATAAAAGAAAATTATCCTTTTTTAATTGAGATAATTTGTCAAATGACCAATAAAAAAAGATAATAATAAAAATAGATAAATAATTAAGGAAAGAGGAAATATGCAAAATATCTTCTTCAACTTTTAATTTTTTGCTTTTGGTGATTCAGATCTGAACTTTCTCCTTTTCATACTTCATGGTAAGCGCGTAGTGGTCCCTTTCGTTGGCATTAGAGGCTTGTGGGTGTGGGGGATCATTCTTTTACAAATTTCATCAATTTATTCCTCGAAGATATGAAGGAATCCATTTATGAAAAATTTCAATATCAGTAACCTTAAAATAGATTTTACAGCGCCTCTTCGTGGATGAGAATTTTGGGAGAAACAGAGAAATAAGTAGAAGAAGGAAGTGGGAGATTTGGCAAGAGCAATAGGGTTTTAGTGTTTTAGAAAAAGACAACTTGTGGGTGGGTGAACATGAAATTTTGTATGACTAATTGTGAATTTTTAGCTATGCAAAATTCGTTCTTTTCTTTCTATTTTGTCATCAAAATCCTTTTTTGTTTTATTTTAGATTTATGAAAAAAAAATAAGAAATTGCTGCTTAAACAAAAATAAGAAATTGCTGCTTAAACAATGAAAACAAAAACTGTGTCACTTCTTGGAAACGATCAAACGAAGATTAGATGACTACAGGCTAATGCATTTTGCCTCTTATTTTATGATTTTATTTATTTATGGGGCCATGATTACATGGCACATAAAATATATTTTATTTTGTCATGTCAGATTTATTTTGGTGACAAATATTGTTTAATGATCTTAGAAGATAAAAGTGTTAAGTTGAATGATTTTAGTGATACAAAATAAAATTTAGTGACTTTACAATATAATTTCTCATAGTTTAGTGACCTTTTAAAATATTAACTCTTCATTGTAATTAGGTTGTAGGATAACTGCTCCATTATTTTATTTTATTGTTTTTGTCTGATATTTTAATTTGAGTTCTACTAATTCAAATTTATATTGAAAGTTTCATTTATGAAATAATTTTTTTTTTTTTTATGAAACGACTACATACTCAAGACCTGAATTTGAAACATCTTATTAAAACAAAAAATATATTTATTACTCTAGTACAACCTTTAAATATGATACAACTACTCCTTTAATACTCTCAATATTGACAACTGCTCATAATAACGATTAATAATTAGCACACAATCACATGTACATAACTATATATAAAAAAATTATTTAAGAAATAGATAAAGTTTTTTTAGTTTTTTTTGTCTCAATTTATATGACTCACTTGTATTTTTAATCAGTCTTAAAAAAATGACACATTTCTACCTTTAGTAATAATTTGACTTATGAAACAATTTATAGCAACACAAACATCTATAACTCATTTTTGACGAAAAAAATGATATAAATAATTTCGTAACTATAGTAGTAGGTCTAAAATGGTCCATTAACTATGTACTTATCAGATTTAGTCCTTCAATATTCCAAAACTTATCAAGTTTTGTTCCTTAATTATACACTAACCAATTTTATCCCTTAACTATACATTTACTAATTTTCGTTTTTTAAGTATTTAAAAACTTATCAGGTTTGGTCTTTGTTCATTTTTTATACAATAACTTAGATAATTTATACTAACAAAATTCATGCCTAGAAAAATTAATTTCTTTTGCCATTTTTTCAGTGATTTCACTATCCCGCTATTTTTTTTAAAATTACTATTACGAAAAGAAGTTGAAAGAACTTTAACCTCAACGATTAAAAATAAAATTCACGATGAAAGAAAATATAAGTTATATTCTTATTCAACTAAGGATAAAGAGAAACATATTATTGCTACTAATGACTTGAATATGCTAAAATTTATTATGAAAAGGAAAAAAAATTATTACCCGTTAAAATCAAAATTTGCACTCCAATGATCTTATTGAAGGGAATTTGTTTAATTTTTCGAAAGTTAAAATTCATAAAATTGTAGATTTACAACTTTTTATTTTTCATTTTTTTAAAAGTAAATAAATATTATTATTCTATTCATCTTATTTTATGTAGAGAAATTGAGTAATAAGATCAAATCTCTTATTTTTATTTTGTTAGAAAATAAATTTAAAAATTTTGTGCTGATTATGATTCATTAACTGTCAAAGAAGGAAACATAACATATTCAAGTCATTAGCAATAATTATATGTTTCATTTTATCCTCCATTGAATAAAATCAGGTACTATATCTTCTTTTTCTCATTAATTTTATTTTGAATCGTTAAGGTTATTGTTCTTTTCATGAGAGTAATTGAAGAAAAAACAGCGGGGATAGAGAAACAACTGAAAATGGGTTAAAGAAGAGTTTCGTTGATATAACCTAAGTTTTTTGTATAAAAAAAAAACACAAAAGCAAACCTAATAAGTTTTTAAATACTTAAAAAACTAAAATCAGTAAGTGTATAATTAAGGGGCCAATCTGACAAGTTTGTGAATAATTAAATGACTCAATTAGGAAAGTATATTGTTAAGAATCATTTTAGATCTACTCCTATAGTTAATAGACTATTTATATCATTTTTTCTATTTTAGACCATAAATTTCAATTTTTTTTATATATTTCGTTTCAAGTCAAGTTAACTTATATAAAATGTGGCGAATGGAGTACTATGCAAGAGAAGAAATACACAGCCCAAACTCCAAACTACAAGATTAATGGTCCTAAAAAGTAGTCGAAAAACATAACAGTATAAGTAGATGAGTTTTCATATCGCACTGACATTGTGCAACATATTTGCCTTTTTCCCTTCAATTTCAAGTCGTGATCTAATGACAATAACACAAATAATTTTTAAAGGCAATAAATATGCTAATTAACAAATGATACTAAAATGTTTACTGTATTAGATAATTGTTATTGAATCAAATATTGCTATAGATATGAGAGACATTTACAGAAAAAAATGCTAACTGTCACTATATAAACATATTTAATGATAATTATACTATTATCATTAATTAACTGCTGCTTAAAATTATTTCTGATATAGTGAATAGAAATGACAAATGGGACAGGAAGGACGGTTGCAGGTATATATAAGGCTATGGATGACTGTTATGTAGTGCGGGTGGGGGTTGAAGTTGGTTGAGAAAAAGAACCGTGCTAGTCGGAATTTGGGGAAAGATAGAGAGCTCTCTAGGCTCTCCTGATCAAATTGAGAGTTTGCTTTGCCAGTCCATGAATATGCCGGGCTGCGGGTTAACATGTTTCGATAAGCTATCATATTACTGTTCACATCAAGTCTCTTGCTTTTTCCTCTTTTTATTCTAAATTGAATTGTTTGTATTTGGTAATGGGTTGTACACAGGGATTGTTTGTATTTGGTAATGGGTTGTACACAGGGACTGCAAAAAAATGATTAACTACTATTTACGTATAGGTGGATAAGAAAATTACACCGTCAATTCATTTTTAGAAATATTTATTTCTCTTAATATATTCATTTATTATTAATAGGAGGAATGACTTGGAAGACTTTTGTACTTGGCTCCGTTTGATAGTCAAGCCCTCCTACCAATAACTTTGCCAACTAAATCTTTAAACTCATCAAAACACAATATTGTAAACCTCTCTGACCATTGACCGAACTTATGTGACATTAATATTGGTGAGTTGGAAATATGTGTGATTACCGCGCTTGAAAGCGAGTTAAAATAATATTTTACTTTTAAAAAAATCAATTTAACAAAATTAAAAAATAAGATTCATCCTCTTCAACCCTCCTTCACCCACTCACCCACGATTTCTCTTCTTCTCCACCAGCCCTCTCTCCTCTACCCCTCACCACAGCCCTCAACTTTCTTCATTCTCCAGCCCATTTTTCTTTCTCCGGCTCACATTCACTCTTCTCTGCCTCTTTTTTTTTTTCTTTTTTTTTATATAAAAGCCTCAACTTCTTTTAAAATTTTCGTTTTTTAGGTTTGAAAAATATTAGTATCATTATTTTATTAGATGGTTTCAACGAGGAGATGTGGATAATGTGAAGGATGATTGTGATTATTGAAAATTTTAATACTCCATTGATAAGCTTGGAAAAGCTTAAAAATTAATAAATGGGTCTTGTGAATTTGTAAAATTAATTAAAAAATTTGATTGGGGTTCATTGAGTTTGTGTTGGTAAACTTGTAGTTTAATTTACAAAGTTAAATCGAGAAGAATTTGATCTAATTGGTATGAAGTTAGTGCTCAAATTGTGACCAAATATGAAGAACATGA